GAGTAAGAGAGCATTAGCATTGTGAGTAAACATTAGCTTTTCTTTTTTTTCAGTAAGAGGTTTTTGTTTAATAGAATTTTTGGACAAAAAAAATCGCAATATATCACCTTGCTTACAGTATCGCAATATATCGGGATATATCGTATCGTGACCCCTCTGTTATGATATGTATCGTATCACCAAATTCTTGCCAATACACAGCCCTAATTTCAATATGATGGGTCACCAATATCGGCTGATACCGATTTAAATGTTGATAGATTGTGCATCCCTAAAAAAAGATGCACGTCTAACTGATTAAACTCAGAATTAACCGGCTGCCACAGCTGACCTCAGCAAAACAAACTTGGCTTGAACTCAGTCAGTTTTACAGAAACTACGCTGTCATTTAGTGTGGTAGTAGTTGGCAGTCATCTCCAATCTGATGCCATCCTGAATGAGATTGAGCATGAAGTCGTTCACAACGTTTGAGCAAATGAAGATGATATCAGATTAAAACTCTGGCCTGAAAGGCAGCAGGTGACGTGCATGACTTCAGTGAATGCCAGGCCTTTAATTGGACAAAACTCATTAGAAAAATGATGTTTTTCTTTTCTGTTTGCCACGAACTCTGAGGAGCCAGCTGAAGTCTAAGAACGGGCAGGTTAGCTGAGGTTAACCATCCTGTGGGTTACAGGTTCGCTCACTAAAAAAAAAAAAAAACAGAGCCATATTGTGAGCAGGAGGTAATCTGATGATTAGCAGGAGGGAACAAGGCTCTCAGCCTCCATCCTCCCATCCCTCCATGACCCGTCTCCATCCCTCCTGCCTTTCCTTCCACTCTAATCGCACGCCTAATTGACTCAGCCAGATTTGGCAGCAGGCTTATTTGTGTCACTTCACACAACAAGGACTGACCTCCGCAGATGGTGGCAGTCAGGAGGGAGGGCACCTTTTAACGCCGGGGTTTCCAACATCCATGCGAACACACGTCTTTACGYGTGCTCACGTGAGGGAGACTCAGCGTCTTTCTAAAAGAAACAGGTTTTACCCTTGAGCTGAGAGTTTCAGTCGTTGTCTTGTTGTGTTCGTTGGCAGTGGTATTTATTGGCTCTGTTGATACCTCTCASCAGAGGCTGCAGGTAAACAACAAGGTGCAGCGGAGCTTCTAGAGGGTGGCACAGAAACAAATACATCCTGCCACACCTGATGCCTCCATATTTCTTATTAATGTATGTGACCCATCACAGCCAAACATGGATAAAGTCTAAGAAATAGGCAAATATAGTGTTTGGTTAAAACATTTGCAAAAATTGCATTTGTCAAAACATAATGAATAAATGCCATATCAATGTATCATTTGAATGAACTGAATATTATTGCTTTAAATTAATTATGACAAAAAGGGGCAGATATAAGATTTTTTCTTCTTTCTGCCTCCTTTCATTTCAATTTGATTTGTATATATTTTTTGTTGTGCATACATGCTGTGTATATATTTTTTGTTTTTAATGGGTATAATTTTTTTGTTTTTAGTTTTAAATGAAATGAATAAATTAACTAAACTAAACTAAACTGTCTGACATATAACCATAAAACAAAATTTTTGAGCAGTAGCAACAAAAAAAAAACTGATTTTGAGGAAAAATGACTTAAAATTTTGTGATTTTCCATGTGAGCTAGCAAAGTTTTCTTTCTTTTCAGCTGGAAAATCTCAATATTCAAATATAATTTGAGGTATCCTTTTTATAAGGACATCAAAGATTTCTCATTAAAATGACATAAAATTAGGACTCAGACCAAATATTTATGTATTATTGTAACCAACATGACAAACTGAGTCATATATATGGATTTATTTATGATATCCGAATGATTCAGGTATGAAAATATAGTGTTTAAAGCGGGAATCTGAAAATGTAATTAGGTCATTTTGACCAAATTTGACTTAATCCTCATTTTAACATGATGGGTCACATAAAGTCAGACAATGAAACTGAAACAGCTGTCGTTTTAGTGTGGGAGGTTTCATGGCTAAACTGGACCAGCCTGATGGCCAATCTTCATTGATTGCACATTGCACCAGTAAGAGCAGAGTGTGAAGGTTCRGTTAGCAGGGTAAGAGCACAGTTTGGCTCAAAATATTGCAATGCACACATTATGGGTGACATACCAGAGTTCAAGAAGGACCAACCACATCGGACACAAGAGGAAGCYGTCTGAAAGGGATGTTATGGTCTAAAACCAGCCRTTTCACTTTCATTGTCKAACCCCTGTATTTTTKTATGTTTACATGTTGAAAGCCAAGACCATCTCCACACAAATGTAGTCATTTGTCTACGTCACTGTTCAGTTAGCAAACACTCTTGAATTTTAACAACAAACCTGGAAATCTCTTCAGAGACTTCTTCAAGGCCTCTCATCTTTTGTTTGTGTTGATTTAAAGGAATCCCCATTAATCCTCACTGTAGTGATGAGGTCCACACAAAAACACAACTATACAATAAAACAAAATTAAAACCACCCCCCCACCCACTCCCACACAGGCAATCAACCTGTTACCATGAGCATATTGACAAAAACAATGTGAGTCTTCTCTGAATCCAAGAAAAACAGGAATCTGCTGACACATAATGCCCAGGCAAATGTGTAATTCAAACTAATAATTTGCAAACAGAAATTGAAATCATGAAGTAAAACTTCAATAAATAAAACAATAAATACTGTCCCCTTGCTGGAGCCCATCACATCGTTTCTACTATACAAAACATCTTCACTGATATCCTTCTACAGACGTAAATAAGTCTGCTCTCCTTGTGTTATATTAGAGGCACTTATTGAGCAGTCACCCTCCTGACAGCTGTTCCTGTGATTATTTTTCTATTATTCTGAAGTGCACGACAGGAGACAACCTCCCAGGAGGTGGGCACTAGAAAAACATTTWAAAAAAACAGACGCAAACAGTAACCAAAGAGCTCTGAACAACTTCCAAAAAAAGAGATTAGAGGTGACCTGAAGGTCAGGGTTCACCTGTGTCACATCACCATCTGTCAGTTTGAGCTCAACTGGACTTAATGGAAGACGACTGAGGACAACGACAACACATTTAGACCGAAATCTGCCGAAACAACTACAAATAATGACAAGCCACAACATTTCTGTCCTTTCAACAAATGAGCTAAAACTAGAGCTACGAGCTTTACGTTCAGGGAGACAAAAACGAAACAGAAAATAACACAATCACTAAAAGAAAATAACACAATCACTAAAAGAAAATAACACAATCACTCTGTTCTGCTGCTTCTGACACATGTGCAGGATCCAGTACAGGGAATCTGATGACGATCAAAGCATTCTGGAGCTAAATGTGCAGGCAGTGACAGTTCAGAGGTCCTCCAACTAAAAACACACAAAAACACACAGCTAAAAACACACAGCTAAAAACACACAGCTAAAAACACTCAGCTAA